TATTATTTACTCAGCACTACTGCTGTATGTAAGGGGTATTTCAAGGATCTATACTTGGGCCCTCTATATTAATTTTACTAGTGTTATTAACTAATACGTCATTATCAGTGTGATTGAGGACGCTCACAAGGTCGATGATAGTCAAGCAGGCTTGTTGCCAGAAGCAACCGCCTCTCACTCAAGGTCAGTGACGTCATTTCTTGTTCTTTGGGGTGYGCATGTGTTAGTTTCCATTCTCTTTACTTAACTCAAGCTTACACCTCTGATGGGTCACACAYGGTGATGGCAAACTCTMATATAATGGGTGCATGTATTGGCTTGCAACTCTTTTCAACTGCACACATGGTGCATGTGGTTTTGTCAAAAAATGTTTTACATATCTTTACCTTTTTCTATTTCTTAATGTATATGTTGCTCATTTATGTTTTTCTTTTAATTTCAATCTTTTCTTTAATTTCATAATTTCGTCTATTTCGTATACAAACAAAGGCTAAATAGTGCAATCAATTCTTCCAGTTTCAAATTCATGCTCAATTCAAATATTTCATCGTTACACTTTTCAATCGCCTCGATATTCAGCTTTACTTGCATACATCCTTTAAATGCATATGACGTCAAATCACGTGGGATGCACATGACGTCACATCACGTGGGATTCATTGTATACCCAGCATGTTGTAACTATTCAACTTAATATTATCCCTTCTTAARTATCCATGCCGTCATAACGGGGTGCTTGCTTGCACGATTCTGACGTGGGATTCATTTAATACTCTGCATGTCTTTAAACTCATGAATATTTGCCTTACTTTACTTACGTCATCTTAAACGTCCAGTATTACGTCATACAATGTGTCTATACGCTCATGACGTCACTTGGAAGTTTGTATCTTTTCTTTTAACACTGCTAATCTTTTGAATTTGCTTCCAACTCGGCTTGTTAATTCTGGGGGTTTTACCAATATATTCTATTTACACTCCTTTAATTGCTCTAGCAAAGCATTGCTCAATACGCATGCGCATACTTGGTCATCTCTTGTTCCCACATGGTAGGAAGGCTCGTTCACTTTTGGAGTCCACCTTTAGACGTACTATGCCTTTCAATCGCCATTCTTCAACACAAAAACTCAAACTCGTTCGTATCTCGTTCGTATGGCTTCCGGCATCATGAATACGATTTTCGTCACCTTTCAACTTAACATTTTATCAATTTTCTAGATTTAGTGGAGCATGCACGGACGGATTAGCTATCTATAATGAGTATGTATACCAGACTTGATTTAATCCAACGAATGGTCAGCATCAGAACCGTTCGTATTCATTCTGTACGTAGTCAAATGGTCGATCAAGATCATGAGAGATGATATAAGAAATCACTCATTATTAGAGATMATTGAAAATCATAACGGATCATTCRTCATTATTAGAGATTATTAGAGATCCTTTCTTTAAGATTGTAAAAATCATCAAGAATCGATCAAAATCTTTAAAAAACCTCGTTTATATATAATCGTTGCGATTGGTTGTATCGCATTTTAGTAACTGATCGATCTTCTTGTGGCTCCGATTTAATCGCCAGTGTCGCTGGAGAGTTTTTTCGTAAAATCGCCGGAATCGCTGAGATAATGTCTCAGTAATTCCTGCCATTGTAACGATCTGAAAACAGGCTTTAAGGCCCGTTTACACTTGCGATTTTTGCAAGTGCGATTCTCACAGCAATCGTCGCGCGAACATGCTTTAAAATTGCCTGCAACGATTTTCCATCGCTGCAATAATCGCAGGGCTGTTTAAACGTACGATTTGAGTTGCGCCATAGCAAAGTGGCGATTATCGCGCTGCAAAAAAAGCAAGCGTCAACGGGTCCTTTGAAGTAGTTCAAGATAATCGCTTGAGATCATTGCGGATCATTGAGTATCGTCAGAGATACTTGAAGCTCGTTATAGACCATTCAAGATCATCAACGTTCATTCAAGTATCCTAGAGATCATTCACGATTATTAGAATTCATTGTAATCTAAAAGAATTATCCGCGCATGTGCATGAGATAAGCAAGATTTTAAAAGCATGGAGTCAAAATGACTTAAATTCTGAAAACTATAAAATAGTTATGAGCAATAAATTTGCAAATATATGCGAATTTTAATCATTAATAGTTTATTGATAACATGAATTTATTTTTACCGCACGTTATCGACTTGTTTTGCAATCGTTTTGCAATGAGTGCATCCAGGGCAAGCTTATAAGTTGAGAAAATACCGAAAATATCTAACATCAACTTAGATTAAAATGTTAAGCATTTTCGGTATTTCCTTCTTGTTATAAGAGTGCACTCTGAGTAAAATGAAATGGA